AACTCTTTCTCTCGTCGCCTCGTTGCTTGGACGATATCGCTATCGCTGCTATCGAAACGATAGATCAACTGTAGAAGAAAACCTTCCACAGTTAGTCTTTCTAACATATCTGTATAAACGTCTATCCGGAGCTCATCTTCGCTACTACTCGTGTCACGAGACTCATTCGTGTTCGAACGTTTCGCCATTGTTCTAATAAAAAATACGAATAAATACATAGGTTGAAAATTTCTAATCGTTATTACTAACTCGCAAGATGATATTTACCAAAAAAACTTTTACCAAACGATTTATTTACCAAGAGAAGAATCACTTTTCCGATTTTCTCACTCGTTAGATCTATCTATACCGCTCGACGCTTCGAACCAGACCGAGTTCAGCTTTGAAAATCTTTTCCTCCAGATTTTATGATTATAAATCTCACTGTACGGTGCGTGCTATGTTCGCATACCGATCTTTCTTCTACAAACTTGCCTTATCGCTCTTTTCAAATGGCGCCTTCGAAGTGCTCGGACCGTCGCGAGCACGCCTCTCGCGTTCTCGTCAAAACCCGCTGGCATTTCTTGTATATATCTTAGTAATTTTACTATATTTCGATTTAATTTCTTGTGCCGTTTCAAGAGAAAACTTCGGGGAAACATGCGTGTCTGAAAAAGTTGCGCCGAAATAACTGAATTCCCTGTAATCGCTAATAAACTTGAATGTCCCACGAGAGGGGACATCCGAGCGATATGCTAGAATTACGATGTCCCACGAGAGGGTACAGCGGAGTGCAAAGGGTTAAAGGTCCTGAGGAGCGGTACTAACGGGCTTCTTCCGGCGCTGAGGCTCTCCTGTTTCAGCTCCCGTTTGGCTCGGGCCTCCCGCGCGCAGTTCACGTTCACGTCGCTCGCGCTCCCGGAGGATTCGGTGAGCTTGAGGGCCGAGCCGCTGCTCGCGTCGTCCAGATTCAGCCGGGACTTGAAGCCGGCGTTGCTGGAGCCGGACGAGTTGGCCGAGAGCCAAGGGTTCGTGCGGATGCGGGAGCGTTCCCGGGGCGACTGGACCGAGGGCGAGACCACCAGCGGCGGCGGGATCGAGGACGGCACGGCCAAGTTGCTTTTCGTCGAGTCGCCGGAGAACGACTCGGTTCGCCGATGGTACCTGTCCTGTTGCGCGCGTGCTCGTTGCGACTGCTCCTCCCTAGACTCTTCGCTAATCTGTTCGTTTGAGAAATCGTGTTTTCTCCATTGTAAATACTGCGCACTCTTCTATCAATATTTCTCAATCGCTCGCTACGCTCTTTCGAACAGAATTTAAGGGGGTGGGGAGAGACTCGCGCGAAGCGTGTGGCTATAAGCGAGCTGATATGTGGCAATTTTTTTATAACGTGAGACCTTGACGAAATTTATCGCCACTCGGCGCACAGGTATCCTTCGATATATCAAGATACAAAATGTTTCTTTTTCGTCGCCTACGATACTACGAAGTGAAAAAAATAACCTAGTTTCGTTTAAAAATACAAACGGTGACCTTGTCTTTTTTTAAAATCGAAAATCAGTTTGTTTCTAAATTTAAATAATTGCAATTTCTTGTCGCGGTTAAATACTAATCAACTTCGATAGGAAGCATCTTTTCATCGGACCATCGGCAGGCGCGGAAGAATCGCGGGGACTGACTTGGGACTCACCCCGTATATTCGACAAATACTCGATAAATATTCAACATTCGCGGAAGGGAAGTTACACATCGTAGACGATCTCGCGATCGTAGCAAAAAGCGGAAGCGCTTTGATCGAGGAGCGCGATCGCGATGCTTGCCTTGCTCGAAGCGTTGTTGGTCCCTCGGCCGTCCCTCGATCGGTTCTCGTTCCTGGTCATGCTCGCGAGGCAAGCCGCCGCCTCGAGGATTCCATGTCTGGCGAGGAGCGCGGGCCCTGGGCCGGGAGCAGGGCTGGCCCCTGGGCCGAGAACGGGGCCGGGCCTAACGCCGGGGCCGGAACCCGGGCCCGGACCTGGCGCCCCTCCGCTCGGAAGCTCTCCCACTCGCGGGCCCGAGGATTTATTCGGTCTGCCGTTGTTCCCGGTGCTCTGAAAGTAGTGCGTACCGGTCCTGATGTTGATGTAATATTCCGGCGGGAAGCTGGTTCCGGGCGAAGTGCCGTCCGTCGAGTATCCGGTGCTGTAGGCGCTCTCCGGGGAGGAGAGATTCACGCTGCCGGTGCCGGCGGACGTGCCGGAAGAGGCCGAAGCGGTCGCGTAGCTTCCGCCTCCGTGCAATCGAATCCCGTCCACGGCTTTCTCCGGCGACTCCGCCGGATGTACCTGCAATTTTCAGTAATGCTTTCGGTAATGCTATCTTCGCGGGCGGCGTCGCCGACACGATTTTCGAGTCAGCTACACCGAGAGAGGGCTAAAGGTCATCGAGGAGACGAGCATCATCGTCTTCGTCGTCGTCGTCGTCGTCGTGTCGTCTAATTGGATGCGAGGGAAACGAACGTGCCGCTCGACCGAAGAACGAGACGAGGAGAACTCGTCTTCCCATTCTCCCATCTCGGTCGCGACGAGACCAGACGAGACGAGACGACCGAAAGAATGTAGATGGCCAGAGGTGGGCGGCTACCCGAGATTTCGGATTAAAATCGAGCCCGGGTGTTTCCCTTCGGTTTCGGGTCAGGATCCGAGAAACTTTCGGGTACCCGGAAAGTTCGGATGCTCGAGTTTGAAATCGAGAATTTTTAAGTACCCGAAATCGAGTTTAACAGTAAACCTACCGAGCAGTAATGCTAACTGGCATGTACTGCTTCGCGAAAGTGAGAAGACCGAATTTATTTAGAATTTGCGAAGTTTTTATTATAAAACTTGCTCCGATAATATAACTTGTTCAAGCGTAAATAATTATTATTATATTATATATATATTATATATTATATTATATTATTATATTATATTATATATATTATATTATTATATTATATTATATATATTATATTATTATATTATATTATATATATTATATTATTATATTATATTATACATATTATATTATATTATTATATTATATTATAAAATTAATTAATAATTAATAATATAACTTGGAAGCGTTTTCCACGAAAGTGTCTCGGAACTTTGCAGAATTGCAGAATAAGAAAGCGGTCACTTCGACCGCGGTAGATTTAGTGTTAAAGCGAATTAAGGAGGTTTATACAGGGTGTCCCGAAAGTTATTCGCAATCGGGAAACGAGAGGTTCCCGGGGACATTTGAAGCAACTTCTTCCTTAGCGAAAATGCAATCCGCGACTTTGTTTAGGAGTTATTAACAAAAAACACGGACCAATGAGAGACGAGCTCGGCTGGCGCAGGGCAGCCGAGCTCATTGGCTCAGCAGCGTCGCGCTACCCGATCCCGTCTATTATTCGTCACTGTGTTTTCGTTAATAACACGTAAACGAAGCCGCGGATTGCATTTACGCTAAGGAAAAAGTTGCTTCGAACGACCTCGAGAACCCGTCATTTGCTGATTGCGAGTGATTTCTGGGACCTGAATCGATTTTAAGCCGAAATCTCGGGTACCCGCCCACCTCTAGCATACACAGTGCGACAAATAAGTTTCGAGACTCGGACCATATCTCAGTAACTAACAGCGTCGTCTATGTTTTTATACCGACGTTTGAAAGCTGTGACATTCCTCTTTCCGGTAGTATCAATTTTGGTTCAATCGGTCCAGAAATAGCAAAGCTATAATATTGGGTTGGCAACTCAGTAATTGCCGATTTCAGTTATAGATGTTTCTCACTCCCATTTTTATGATATCCGTAAATGTTATATTATAAAATTATTATTATTATTATTATTATTATGTTATTTTTTATTATCCGTGAATGTTGGCAACTGGACAAATTGAATGCAGCGGTCAAGGAAAAGTGGGCAGAAGGTCATTGAACAAAATGGAAAATACATTACAGATTAAACTTCGTTCCAAGTAAAACAAATTTGTTATTTCATTGAACAAATCGGCAATTACTTAGTTGCCAACCCAATAGTTCTCCCGAAACAACTTTCTTGTCGATGTTGAAATATGACCAAAAATCTTTGCGTGTCGATCATTCCAAAGAAGCCGCCAGAAATGTCCCAAACTTCCTGAAATCAATTGTTACGGCTGACGAAACATGGTGCTTTCGGTACGAGCCAGAAACCGAACGTTAAAGTCGCGGAATGGAAGTCGAAAGATTCGCCGAAAGCCAAAAAAAAAAACAGGAAAAGTTACAACAAAAATCAAAGACAATGCTCGTTACATTCTTCGATAGCAAAGGAATTATCCACAGGGAATTCGTTCCAGCTGACGAAACAATTACTGGCGCATATTATCTGGAAGTGTTGAAGCGTTTGATGGCCAGAATCCGTCGTATTCGACCCGAATATCGGGATCCAGAGACCCGGTGTCTGTTGCACGATAATGCACCGAGTCGCACCTCGCTCATTGTTCGTCGATTTTTGGCACGAAATCAAGTCTGTGTGTTGAATCATCCACCGTATTTGCCCGATTCGGTCGCGTGTGACTTCTCTCAAATCCCAAAATTGAAATTGAACTTGGAAGGATGTTTTTTTAATGACATTTCGACCATCGAAATAACTAAAACACGAGCGCCAGAGACAATTCCACAAAATGAGCTAAAACACGCATTTCAATCGTTGTTGAATCGCTGTAACAAGTGCATTGAAACTGGAGCAGGATATTTTTAATAAAGGAATCGAAAAAAATATTCATTCATCTTGTTTCAATGATGGCCTCGGCCAGTCTCGAAACTTAATTGTCGCACTGTGTACAGTCATGTCTCCCTAATTGACGCTCAAATTGTGCACCAAAATGGACAATTTGGGAAGAGGAGACACGATAATTCGAGTCTTGTGGTTAGTTTTTATACTTTATGCAAGGCTCGAATAATCGTATCTCCTCTCCCCAAATTGTTCATTTTTGCGTATAATCTGAGCGTCAATTAAGGAGACATTACCGCATATTTTAATATATTTATCGTGTACCCGAGGCAGACGATATACGACGAGATAAAGCTAACCGGAATGTCTAAATATGCCAGCCCGATAAAAATATTTTATAATTTATAATAATTATGAATAATATAATAAATTTAATCTTTTACACTTTTAACTAATAAATTATTCTAATATTTTTATACCCGTAAAGCATTTACTAAATAATATTTTTATAAAGTTAACAATTAAGTACAAATATTTTATAAATCAATTTAAAATAACTACTAATAATATAACATATTTAATTTTTTATGTTTTTAACTGAAATTTTATCCTAATGTTTTCATCTCCATAGAACGTTTACTAAATAATATTTTCTTTTTTAATTAGTGGTTCGATAAAAATATTGTATAATTTATAATAATTATTAATAATATAGTAAATATAAAATTTTCTATATTTTTAATCAATAATCTATTTTAATCTTTTGCCCCAATAAAGAAATTAATAAGTATTATTTCTTAAAAAATAATAATTCAATACAAACATTTTATGAATTAATTTAAAAAAAATTATTACTAATATAACAAATTTAATTCTTTACATTTTTTCTCAGAATCTCGTGTACCCGAAAATGTGTGCCTGAAAATCTCGGGTCCCGATCCAATGGGGAAAACTCTCGCGGTAGTTATCGAACTGCGGGAGACAGCCGATCGTGCTCACCTGGTGCAAGCAGGGAGATCTGTTGGCGCTTCGATTTCTCGGGGAGTTGCAGTTCGAGTCGAACCCCTTCTCCCCCTTTTTCCGATCCTTTTTCTTCTTCGATCGCACGATATGCGCCTCCATCCACGTGCGCAGTTTCGTCCCGAACATGTTGCACGCTGTTCAAATCGATGAAACGGCGAGGCGCGAAAAATTCGGAGCAGGTCCGTCGGTGGTTCGCCAATTATCGTTGGCACGCAACGGGCCTCGCGGTTTCGAAGCTCGCGGGCTGCTCGCATCTACGTGGTCCTCGCTTCTCCGTCGGTTAACGTCGTGAATCGTTGCGGCGCCACGTCGTTTCGCGGCGTTCGTCGCCGACGCGAGCCGTCGCAGGATCTGAAACACGCGAGGACGGAACTCGTTAGCACCGTGCGGCGACGGTAGTCGCGCGGAGCTCTCGTCGGCGGATCTCGTCGGCGAATCTCTCGTTGCGACTTCTAACGCCGCGGGGTTGGCACCTCTATTTCCGGGGAGCGAAACACCCGAGGGACTTCCGTCGGTGAAATCAACGCGGCACTCCGCGCCCGACCGCACCCACCCCTTTTCAGCCACCGCGTTATAATTTCCGGCTTCTCTTAAATCCAGGGTAGTCGTGTGCGGTTCGGTGTCTCGAGGCGCGTACTCTCTCGCTTCGGAACTGTATTCGAATTTCGGCTGGTCCCGATTGCCGACCGGTTTACCATCCGCAGCGGATTGCGGCGCGGCGCGGACCGACCCGGGGCGGAAAGGAAAAGAAAACGTTCGGAACGCTTCCAGAGCTTTCATATTTGATGAAAGGTGAAAAGGCCGCGACGTTTTCGCGCTCTCAACGTCCCGACCCTCGTTTCTGCGCCAGGTTTCTGTCGGCTCTCCCCTCGACCCAGATCTTGTCGGGAGGACGACCGCCGCCGGCGGCCGGCGACCGGCGGCCAGACGAGATAAACGAAAAACGAGCCTGCTTTTCCCTGGAACGATAACCGAAGCCAAAGGTAAACAGCTCCTCCTGTTGCTGCATAGTTCATGCACGTCGCGGACAAACGGCTCTCGCGTAAGCGTCTCCGAGATACGCGCGGCGAGCTACGCCGGAGGACTTCGAGGAACGCCAAAGACGATCGGCGGTATCGTTCTGCGCCGAGCAACGTCTAACTTTCGATATTCGCTGCATTGTTAGTTAATTTGATGTATCGGGTTGGCAACTAAGTAATTGTCGATTTCACAATTATAGATGTCTCTCACTCCCATTTTTATGGTATTCGTAAATGTTATATTATAAAATTATTGTTGTTATTATTATTATTAGGTCTACCGGAATGTTCTGCCCGTTTCTGAATTGAAATATAACGCAATTTTCATACATTTAATAATATTTATTGTAGAATATACTTTGCATCGTTACTTATGACTTCTTGCCGGCGCGATGGCAACTTGTAAATGCCATTTTTAAAAAATGATTTATGTTTAGCGGCGAAGAACTCGACCAGTGCTTGGTTGACATCGGCTTCGGTTTTGAATTTCTTTTTCCTGTAAAAAGTTTTGCAAAGAGAGAAACAAGTGATAATCGGAGGGTGCTAGGTCTGGGGAGTACGGTGGATGCGACAGAATTTCCCGGCCTAGCTCTGCGATTTTCTGACGAGTCGACAAAGCAGCATGTGGCCTGGCCTTATCGTCGGTAGCCATGTTTTCACGATCGCGTCTCGCTTAATAATGACACGAGACATCTTTGTTTCAGTTTATTTGGGAGAGTATATGCGTGTAAATGCAATGATAAAGAGAGATAGTCGTATATGTCTCGAATCAACATGTGCATATGCATTGAAACTTGAAGTGACACTGTCGGACAGAACTTTCCGGTAATAATATAATTACCGTATCAATTCATGTATAAAAATTTTCTTTTTCTATACATACGTCGCTCTCATGAGGATGATTTGTATTAACCCTTTGCACTCGAAGAGCCAATTTAACAGTAAATCTAAAATAATTTTTCCGATTCCAATTTATATGACAAAGTGCATTTTATGCATACGAAATCGAGTCTCCTGATTTATAGAACAGTTATGCTTTTAATAATATTTATAATCTAGGCTTCGATGATATAAAAGTGATATTAGAACGTGATACAATAATATATATAAGATAATATATATAAGATAATAATAATAATAATAATATATAAGACCTAATATTATGTTATTTTTTATTATCCGTGAATGTCAGCAACTGGACAAATTGAATGCAGCGGTCAAGGAAAAGCGAGCAGAATTGGTCGATCGTAAAGGTGTCATTTTCCAGCAGGACAATGCTAGGCCACACGCGTCTTTGTCCACTCGGCAAAAATTCATGGATATTGCTTGGGAATCGATGTTACACCCACCATATAGCCCCGATCTCGCGCCATCGGATTACCACTTATTTCGATCCCTGGACAACTCCCTTCGTGGTAAAACTTTTAACGACGATGACGCTGTAAGATCTCGCTTAACTCAGTTTTTGGCCGAAAAGGATCAGACTTTCTACGAGCGTGGAATTTTCAAGTTGTCGGAGAGACGGCAAAAGGACATCGAACAAAATGGAAAATACATTACAGATTAAACTTCGCTCCAAGTAAATAAGAATTTTTTATTTCATCGAACAAATCGGCAATTAGTTGCCAACCCAATGGATCGGTTCGCTCCTGTATTCTCCGTGTATCCTCCCCGTAGCCCTCTCGCAACAAGATTCCTAAGCGCGACGAGAACGAGACTGGGATATCCCATGCGGCACGCCGACCGGGAACGAGCGAGTACATACGCGCGGTTTTACCTGCTCGAGCCCGACCTCGAGCTAATTCGCTCGCGTTACGGTTCCCGAGGCCGAGTCGTCGGCGTATCGATTATCGCCGTGATCCAAGGTGCTGGAGCAGGGTGCGTGGAGCTTCTCTGCCGAAGGACTGCTCCCGGCTCGAGTATGCAAATGAAACCCGGCAAGCAAACCGGCAAAGAGAAAGAGAACGTGGAAAGAAAAGGGGAAAGGGCGAGGGAGAGGTGTTAGCCGCCACGTGGTTAGGGGTGGTGAAAGGGTTCGATCGAGCACCGCTGACGGTAGCCGCGGCTCGTGGCCCGCGGTGTCGTCGTCATGGCAACCATCCGAGGTCTCGCCCCAGGCGAGCCTGGGATCCACCGGTGGGATCCAACGGTTCGTCGGATCCAACGATCCGGGATCGAAACGCGTCGACGTCGACGGCAACGTCGACGCGGCCGAACGCGATTTTCACGGTCATCCCGGCTCCGCCGCCGGGATGCCCCCGGCTCCTATTCCAGCGAACGCAAACCGGGTCCGTCCTCGTTTTGCCGCGTCGCGTGGAACGCAGCCACGGCCGCGTCGACCGTCGAATAAAATTAGAAATCGCGCCCCGGTTCCACGATACCCGGCACCGCGGTCTCCCGATCGCTCTCCGGCCGTTCCATCTCGTTTTTATAGAGATCCGAAATAGCGAATCGATCCCGTCCCGGACACGACGATAAGCCGCAGTTTTGCGGACGTAAATGGTACACCACGCCGATTCCTCGCAGATAAGAATCGATACTGCGCGATCCACGGTTCATATGGTCGTTTTCGGCACGAAGAAAGCGGTCGCGGATTCGGACGCCGTCGGTTCGACGACGACCAGGCGACACGGCCGAAAATAATCGCGTCGACGCTCGCCGCCGATTTCCTTCTGTTGGAGAAATAACGTTTAAATGAAAATGGAACGATACGCTCCTTTAACTTTTGCGCCGTTGAAACTCGTTGATCTCATTTGCATCGGCGCCCTCTATTCACCCCTTTTCCAAAACCTTGGTCTCACATACATATGTATATATACAGGGTGTCCCAAAAATGTCTCGCGATCCGAAAGCGGCGGGTTTCTCGGGCCGTTCGAAGCAACTTTTCCCTTTGCAAAAATTTTCTCCGAAGCGCCGTTAACGAGTTATCAACGAAAAACGGTGACCAATGAGAGGCGAGCTCGGCTGGCGCGAGGCGACCGAGCCAATGAGCGGAACCGGACTTCGCGCGCTGGTTGGCTGGGCCGCCTCGCGTCAGCCGTACTCGATTCTTATTGGTCGCTGTTTTTCGTTGATAACTCGTTAACGGTGGCTCGGAGAACATTTTTGGAAAGGAAGAAGTTGCTTCGAATGATCCGAGGAACCCGCCATTTCCGGATTGCGAGACATTTTTAGAACATCTTGTATGCATATACATATATATATATGTATGATCTTATTCCTAATACCGTCATCTATCTTATAATTAACACGTCGGTTCTTGCCAGGGCGATCCACCGAAGGAAATGGTCCCGGTTATTTCGGTTCTGGGCGAAACGCGACCGACTAGGGTCGGATTCGCCGTGAAATTTCCATGGATTCGGAAAGGAACGCGACAAACGTCGAGAAAGATGGTCTTCTGGCCGTTGGCCAAGAGAGAACGGTGCCGTCCACGAGCCGACGGGAGAATCTCGGCGACCTCGAACGCGACCCGATAGGGACGCGTTTAGCGGAATCGCGCTCGGTCACGGTCGCCGGGGCTGCTAAAGTTGCTCGCGGATTTCAATGAAACATTAATTGGGAGTCGCCGGGGGAAATGGCAAAAGTTAAAATGCCAGAGCGAGAGAGAGAGAGCGCGAGATCGAGATAGAGAGAGAGAGCGAAAGCGAGAGAGAGAGAGAGAGAGAGAGAGAGAGAGAGAGAGAGAGAGAGAGAGAGAGAGAGAGAGAAAGCGAGAGAGCGCGAGAGAGAGAGCGAGAGAGAACGAGAGAGAGAAGCAAAAAGCAAAACTCGGCCCTTCCAACGGCCGTCGTCGACGCACCCTCTCGCCGTACCGGCTAATTCGAACGAGAGCAACCCTCGAGGTAGCGCGCGTCGTTGCCGAATCTAATCGAATCCGATGCTCTTCGAAAGGTTTTCGGACGCGGGATGAAAAAAGCCCGCGCCGGGAGCAGGCCGTCGCGACGACTCCGCGAGAAAGGTTGCGACGCGTCCACGAGCGAACCGGCTCGATCGCGATATCGCTCGATCCGACGACGAACGCGAGTAGGCGGCGGGTCGAGTTACGGCGGGCCAATGGGGCAATGGACCGACGTTTGCATTCTTTCGCTCGCCGGCTTTGATTTCCGAGTAAGCACGGCGAGCGTCGTCGACGATCATTCGACGAGCCGGCGAGCGTAATCGCGAGCCGCGCGCGCGTCCTTGGGATTTTTCCTCGACCCGTTTCTTATTCGTACGCCAATTCGAGGGGTACGCGAGAAAAGCGTGCCAACGCTCGCGTGAACGAGTCTCTGCGAATCCCCGCTCGTCCCCGCCGCGAACCCCCGGCATCCTTCTTACCGAAGAACGTTCCGTTGGTTCGACGATGACACCGCGGCTGGAGACGGCGAGAGGCCGCACAACCTCGTGCCAGTGTCACGGCCCGTGCGGGCTCGTTCCATCCGACACACGCTGAAAATCTTCGAAATACGATCGGCGCCCGTCGCGACGCTCGCTCGCTTGCTCGCGCGTTCGCGGCGATACATACACCTTCCCCGGCTCGCGTCGACTAGCCTCGCACTTTCGCGTTTCATTTTCCAACCGGTTAAACGGCCCGGCAAGTGTAAATTCGAAAGCTTCTAGGTTATGCAACGGTTACGTCCACGGCTCTGTTGGCTCTCTCGGCTCTTTGCTCTCCGCTCTCGGCGCGCGACGATTACCGAGAAGTAGTCGCGCGCGCCTCGCTTTGATCGACACGTTCTCGTCGACGATCGCCGAAACGTAGCGCGCACGCTGCCTGCAGGCTTCGCCGCAGCTCGGGACATTTCCGCGAGAGAAAGAGAGACAGGGGAGCCGAGATCTTACCTTTTTCTCCATCGAACGTCATCCCCCATCGGTTTCGAGCTGTTCTCGCGTCAAATGGAATCCGGCGATCTCGCTCCAGTGTTGTCGCGAACGCGAACCGAACGACCGGACGGGAACAACGCGAACAGGCACCCCTGGAATGCTAGCGCGTACTCGCGTGCTCGTTGACGTTTCTCGCTCTCCCTTTCGCGTCGTGTGCCCAGTGCCGAGTGCCGGCACGCGAGACTCTTCCCGAGCAAAATCGTGGACCGAGCGAACGGAGAAACGCGGCGACCTCACCCGACCGGCTGTTCGACCGAGACTGAGCGCCGTCGAATACGCACCCTTATTGGGCGGACACGTTGCAGGGCCGTACCAGAAAGGGGTGCTTCCCCTACCATTCCAGTCTATTCTCCTCGCCATTCTCTGCTCGCTACACTTTGCTTCATTTCTCCTTCTTTTCTCTTCTCTTCTCTTCTCTTCTCTTATCTTCTCTTCCTTTTCTCGTTTCTTCTCTTCTCTTCTCTCCGCCGCTCTTCTCGATTTTACTATTCTCCGTTCTTTCGCGCTCGTCTCGTCCCTTTTCTACCCTCTGCTCTGCTTCCGGCCGATGCGACGTATCCCGATGGAAGAGAGTATCGACGCGAACGCCCGTGCCTCCTCGCTGTAACCGATAGACCAACCTGCCCCGTAGCCACGGCTTTTCCATCTCGCGACGAGCAACGTGCCCGATGGAAAGGGTAGCCGCGCTACACAAACGGTTTTCCCATAGCCGATAGCCCGGCGAGCACGGCCCAAAACCCGATACCCCATAACCCATACCCCGTACCCCATAGCTCCTCGGAAGCGCCCAACCAACGACAACGACCGATGTTAATCGTCGCGAGCGCGTTCCGATCGATCCGCGATACCCGTTCGTTCGTTCGTTCGTTCCGTCAACGGCGAGATCCTCCGCGCGGCTACGAAACGATTCGCACCGGCGAATCGGCCGAGTCTCGCCAGCTGGTACACGTTATTGCGGAAATTGTTCGTTTTGTTTTTCCTTTTTGTTCGCAGCATTCGGATCTCCTCGGAGATCTATTTTTTTGCTTCATCATATTATATTATATATTATTATATCGTATTGTATTATATTGTCCCAGATTTTAATGTTCAAACTTTGTCAGTATATTCTCTGGCACGAAGTAAGACAGAAATGTTATGTAAACGTAGGTCATGTAGAGCTTTGTTAAGAAGTTATGAGAAAAATTCAGGATAGGAATAGTAATCGACTAAAAAAAAAAATAAAAAGTAGAAAAAAATCTTCGATCGATGTCAATCATGTATCGTCAACAACGGTTATTAATACATTTCGAAATGTATTAATGAACACAGCTTACATAAACACACGGCATGCGCTGATCTATTCGAGCCAATGCTCGCAGTAACAGCAAGTTACGTGTTTTTATATGAAAGCAACACCTGAATTTATGCATAATACAACGTTTATTTCAGTTTTTATTTTAGAGGAACTTTTGGAAAACGATGTATATTATCTCATCGCATTTCCGATTTTCTGTTTTATGGAATTAATCGATCTGGCTAATGAGCGGCTCGTATAACTTAATAAGCGTTGCGAGTAACTAAACGCTAAGATTACATATTTGTAAAAAAAAGACAAATATATGGAAACGTGGAAATATTAGGTTTAAATAACAAAGTTTCAATACTGACCGGTCGATGCAATTGCGTATAGGAAATGTAGTCCTTCGATTATGGAAGGGAGGAGTGTCCCGTATGAATATCCTGTATAATACCTGTCTCTTATACACTTCTAGTTGTGTATAAGAGACAGCTTCGATCCCTGGACAACTCCCTTCGTGGTGAAACTTTTAACGACGATGACGCTGTAAAATCTCGCTTAACTCAGTTTTTGGCCGAAAAGGATCAGACTTTCTACGAGCGTGGAATTTTCAAGTTGTCGGAGAGACGGCAAAAGGTCATCGAACAAAATGGAAAATGCATTACGGATTAAACTTTGTTCCTGTCTCTTATACACTTCTAGTTGTGTATAAGAGACAGCTTCGATCCCTGGACAACTCCCTTCGTGGTGAAACTTTTAACGACGATGACGCTGTAAAATCTCGCTTAACTCAGTTTTTGGCCGAAAAGGATCAGACTTTCTACGAGCGTGGAATTTTCAAGTTGTCGGAGAGACGGCAAAAGGTCATCGAACAAAATGGAAAATGCATTACGGATTAAACTTTGTTCCTGTCTCTTATACACTTCTAGTTGTGTATAAGAGACAGCTTCGATCCCTGGACAACTCCCTTCGTGGTGAAACTTTTAACGACGATGACGCTGTAAAATCTCGCTTAACTCAGTTTTTGGCCGAAAAGGATCAGACTTTCTACGAGCGTGGAATTTTCAAGTTGTCGGAGAGACGGCAAAAGGTCATCGAACAAAATGGAAAATGCATTACGGATTAAACTTTGTTCCTGTCTCTTATACACTTCTAGTTGTGTATAAGAGACAGCTTCGATCCCTGGACAACTCCCTTCGTGGTGAAACTTTTAACGACGATGACGCTGTAAAATCTCGCTTAACTCAGTTTTTGGCCGAAAAGGATCAGACTTTCTACGAGCGTGGAATTTTCAAGTTGTCGGAGAGACGGCAAAAGGTCATCGAACAAAATGGAAAATGCATTACGGATTAAACTTTGTTCCTGTCTCTTATACACTTCTAGTTGTGTATAAGAGACAGCTTCGATCCCTGGACAACTCCCTTCGTGGTGAAACTTTTAACGACGATGACGCTGTAAAATCTCGCTTAACTCAGTTTTTGGCCGAAAAGGATCAGACTTTCTACGAGCGTGGAATTTTCAAGTTGTCGGAGAGACGGCAAAAGGTCATCGAACAAAATGGAAAATGCATTACGGATTAAACTTTGTTCCTGTCTCTTATACACTTCTAGTTGTGTATAAGAGACAGCTTCGATCCCTGGACAACTCCCTTCGTGGTGAAACTTTTAACGACGATGACGCTGTAAAATCTCGCTTAACTCAGTTTTTGGCCGAAAAGGATCAGACTTTCTACGAGCGTGGAATTTTCAAGTTGTCGGAGAGACGGCAAAAGGTCATCGAACAAAATGGAAAATGCATTACGGATTAAACTTTGTTCCTGTCTCTTATACACTTCTAGTTGTGTATAAGAGACAGCTTCGATCCCTGGACAACTCCCTTCGTGGTGAAACTTTTAACGACGATGACGCTGTAAAATCTCGCTTAACTCAGTTTTTGGCCGAAAAGGATCAGACTTTCTACGAGCGTGGAATTTTCAAGTTGTCGGAGAGACGGCAAAAGGTCATCGAACAAAATGGAAAATGCATTACGGATTAAACTTTGTTCCAAGTAAAAGAAAATTTTTTATTTCATCGAACAAATCGGCAATTATTTAGTTACCAACCCAATACATAATAAAAAAAGCACCTCCCCGTCAAAAAAGAAACTCCATTAGGTCCCGAGGAAACATTTTCCCCTCGAGCCAAGGGTCAGCAGTGTCGCGGTAAAAACTTCTGCGGAAGTAGTTGAACTCGCGGAGTCTCCGTCGAAGACCGTGGGATCGATCGATCCGGTCGTCGGAGAGGATCTCTGAAAATGTCTCCGGTTCGCCGCGATCGCGCGAATCCCGCGGCACGGTATCGGGAATACGGGACGGCGCTTGCAGGCTCGAACGGCTGGATGCGGGAACAACGAAACGTGGAAAACGTATCGAGCCCTTCGGCCTTTCTGCTTTCGAATGAATGCCTTTAGGGGTTGCACGGCGCGAACAAAACGAAAAATCATCGATCGCTGAAACGAATGCCTTCTGGGTTTGCATGCTCGACTTTGCCATTCGGCCAGGTTATTCGAATGTCTGGCTTTCGACGCCGAGTCAATTTCGGTCGATCTCTTTCTTTCACTGTCCCTCTCCCTCCACCCCTCTCTCTCTCTCTCTCTCTCTCGTTCTCCCGACCGCGGGCTCGCGAGCTTCCTTTAATCTCTCGACCCCGATGCCGCTGGAAGAATGAAAACTCGGGGAGGGAAAAAAACCGTAACTCCGCGGAGACGATAATTACGTACGTATCTCGCCCGGCACCAGGTATTATCCGTAGCTGAGTTGGCAACCTTTTCGACTTTGGATGCCTGCCAGGGTAAATATCAATTTTACGACGTCCATGGATCCTTTCTATTTGGTTTGGCAATTCCTGCACCGGCTTACCCCGCAGCCAACCCAGCAGAGCCCGGGCGCCTAGCGTCGGGCGGCACCCTCCGCTGCCGATGGTTTCCCGCTAATCTAGCACCAGCCGTGATCTTCGGCCTGCGATTCCGTCGCAAATGCTCTTACTACCTGTATTTGCTCGCTCGAACGCGGCTACCCTCGGCATCGACTTCGATTCCGACTTCGACCGTGACCGGAACGGCTTATCCCGACGCGCGACGCTCTGTAATCGAATCAAACTCGCGCGATTTTCTACCGGGCTTTCAACCGGTAGTGGAGCACGCCTGTTCGACGGATCGCCGATCGGAAACCGATGCCACGGCGATCGGCCCGTGCCGAAGACTCCTCGTTAATCCGATCCAATCCGCGGTCGGCCGGCGCGGCGCGCTATCGCGCCGATTTCAGCGCGGGTTTCGCGCCCGTTTCGAGGACGCGGAGCGCGATAATTGCCGGCCGGCTTGGTGTAATCTTCGCACAGATTTCGAGGAGCTTGTTGCGCCGCGTTTAACGGTTAATCGACTCTCCCCTGGTATCCCTGTCGTTCTTCTTTTCCTTTTTTCTTTTTTTTCCAGCGTCGCGCGTCTCTTTCCAAGACCGGTTTCTGCGTATTTGCAAACGCTTGTCGTCGGCGAGGGCGCCGCGTGTCCGCTGCTCCAAGCTCTCGCGTCTCTCGCAAGCGTACAAGCGTACAGCCGTACGCGCGTAGAAGCGTGCAAGCGTAGAACGCGATCTATCGGTGCGAAGGCTCGTCGAGACGAGGACGAGCGCGGTTCGTTTCATGGTTCGTTAAACGCCTCGTAGCCGTAACATCTATTCGCGTAAGCGTTTTGTCCTGGCACGGTCGAACGGGTTCAACAGGCTAACGGGAACCCTTTTTCTCGGTGCGGCGCGCGTCGCGACGCGCTTTCGATCCTCGCTTTAACCCTCGGCCCGCGGCGGCCGGGTCTCCCGCGACCCGATTTATTCGAACGGCCCGCCTAATCGGCCAACGCGTTCGCCAATCGAATCGGATGCACATAGCCGTCGCGCCGGGAACAGCGGAAAGTCTGTTGACCCTTTGCACAACCCTTACATCGTAATTCTAGCATATCGCA